GTGGCCCTTGAAAACCGAATACTATACAAGGTCTTCGCCCATGTCCCCAGCCGCCGAGCCCTCACACCGCAAGGCCGTCACAAGGAAAACACACAGTCGGCAGGAATCGTCCATACAACACGAAACACAAACCGCGTACCGTGGGTGATGGGCTTCTTGGGCTGGTGTCTCATGAGGAAGTGCGCGTACCTCGACACAGTCTTCACCATCTGCTCGTCGTAGCACAGCCACTGGTTGAAGTCCATGTTTTCCGTCCACGCGGTGTTCAAGATGTCTTCGAGCTCTCTGCCGGTGAAGCGACGTCAAGATTAGCACGGAGGTGTGGCGTTGGTTAATCTGTTGTAGAACATTCGTGGGACACGAACGGACATACGAATGCTCGCCTATTGATTACACACACCAACCACGCTAGTCCGTAGCTATGATCATCCCAACCGTACGCTACTGTAGTGGTCACGTGTAGTATTCCACGGGGAGGGCGGGTGGTGTACAACTGTACGCTACTGTAGTGGTCACGTGTAGTATTCCACGGGGAGGGCGGGTGGTGTAGGGCAACGACAGGTACAACGACATGAACCCTTTGGATTTGGATTCTAGGGTACTCGCCGGCTTGGAGGCCGTTTTATTTCACCACATGAAAAAATGGAGGAGCGTGGTCCAACAGTCAGAACGCTCGAAGTCTCCGACGGGTAAAACTCACCTGATGTGCCACTTCGAATCGAAGTCCGGGTTAGGGGTGTTGTCCTCGTCCAACAATCGAGGAGGAGCGTTGCCGTCCGAGCAGTGGATGAAACGGCAGTACAACAGCTCGAACAAGTCACGCGGCATGCACGCCCTCACTAGAGGATAGTCGTCGTGCAACGATCTACTCCAGTGCTTCCTCATGCGCGTTTTCTTGGTGAGCCCCATCGTGATCGTGATGCCCAGCATGCCGTAGATGTGCTTGCGCTCGAATGCGGGTTCCGGCAGGGTGACCCTGCCTAGAGTTCTCGTCTTCTTCATCTGATGCTCCTTGCGCTTCTCCGTAGCTCCGGGGGGTGGTGGTGTGGTGCAAAGGTTCACGTACTTGTTGGTCTGGAAAAGTATCACGTTTCGCGCGGAAGAGGTCAGGGACAACAAGACGGAGCGAAGATTAGCATATTCGCCCCAGAGGTCGCGCCGAGGTGTCGTATATATACACAATGATTGTTGATGCAAGCCGTGGCAGCACAGACATGTTTGATTAAATTAATCCGCATATGCCTTCCGCGGGTGTCTTGGAACGTAAGCAATACCGCAAGGGGCCACAACAGACTGTGTTCTCAGGCATCTACCTAGTACCCGCTTTCAATTGTTGGGTTGGTCGGGTGGATATCGGTAATCAAATTACAACATACATAACAGGGATCCCGCGCGCTGGATAGGGGGGGGGGAGGGTGCTTCTCTACAGGGAGTACATTCCGCGGTATTGCATCCGCCCTTGCAAACCACCCCATGCACGATACGCTGGTACGTAGCACGTCCGGAGGGAAGTATGCATGAACACCGCATAAACCCCCGTGTGTTTGACAATCTTGATGAGCTGTGATCTACATTCGGCCAGTATGATTAGGCGACCAAGGCATGCAGACGACATCATGCAGTGTAAACACCAACAAAGGGCATACAATTCATCCCGCCCCCCCCCCTCCCCCCCTTCCCGCGGAACTACTTTCAAGTCCGACGCATAACGGCTCGGTCTCTTACTTGCGTGCAACCCCCCTACTGAGTTGTTCGAGTGCAACTTAATAAGGAATGCGACCACACGAAAACACCAATGCTCACCTTTTGCACGAAAAGATCTACTGCCTTGTCGGGGAACATCATGTTGAAGCACGTCTTCATCAAACCACTCAGCGGGAACTCTCCGTTCTCGTCGCGGCCGCCCATGAAGGTATCGAGAGAGGGCAACTTCGATCGCGCGGACGCCGACAGCGAAGCAGCGCTGACCGCTTGCCGCCGGGTTCTCTTCTTGTGGTCCGTCGTTCCCGCAAAGTCAGGAATGCCGCGGTCAGTCCACGCCACCTCCGGGTACTCCTCCGCCTCAGCTTTCAACTCCTCCTGCTCCTGCTGCTGCTGCTTCTCTAGCTCCTCTCTCTCTTGTCGCTCCTCCTCCTCCACCTCCTGCCGCGGCCGAAGCTGGTTTTCTTTTTCCTTTTCTGCCGCTTTCTTGAGCCTCTCCTTCTCCCTGTCGCGTATGGCCTTGAGCTGGGTTGAGCACGTCGTCGGCAAACAGCGGAAACAGAGCGGCAGGTGTGTCAATTCATACCCTGCCGTGTTGTGTTCAATCATCCGAAAAAAAATAAAGTCGTACGAGGCGACGGTGTCACTAACACCTACGAATCGAGCGAGCGAGAGATTCACATGAAACTGACACGGCGATCAAAAGTAACACCATACAGGGCCAGTAGGGTGTTCAGGTCACGCACATGCATTTACATACTCCGAATCGTGAACTCGACATTCGTTGCCCCCCTGCCAACATTGGAAACCACACCCGTGTTGAGCAACAGGAGCCAGGCACGGAGGCGTCAACATGATCATGCAAGCAACCAAGGTGCTTTTTACCAACACTTCTAAGATTATTTTTGGTAGAGACTAGCGACCACACGAGGCGAAACAAAGTGCCTACCTAGACACGCGTTTGTTCAGCGTTGATAGGGCACTCTCTACTCGGTATTCCAAGCGAAAAAAAAAACGCAAGAAACTGCTACAGCAGTATTGATTCGCACTATTTATCGGACTCAACTTTTGCACCACCATAAATCGTCGTCTTCTCTTAGGTCCGCCTATTCGCCTGGAAAATGCCAAGAGAAAAGTCTACACGAACACAAACCCACCTTTAGACCCCGCGCCCTCCTCTTGTTGCTCAGCAAGTACGCCCGCCTGTACTTGAGCTCCTGGATCTTCTTCATGGCGGCCACCACCTTCTTCTCGTTCTGCGACATGCTAGCGAAGGAGCCCTGGGTTCGCTCGTGGTCCCCCCCCCCGATGCTGCCGTCGGAATCATAGTTGGCTTCGTCTACTTGGCCGTTGCTCTTCACCGATTTCCTCCTACCCGTCGGCGTACTCTTGCATTTCTTTGCGGCACCCCTCCCCTCCCCTGGTGTACCCCCCGCCTTGCGCTTCCCCGGCACACCAACCGCCTTGCGCTGCTTCCCCGGTGCACCCCCCGCCTTGTGCCTCTTGCTGTCCCCTGGCTGCCTCTCGGTTGGTCGCTTCACCCCGACCTTACTCCCGATCTTCGCCTTGCTTTTCTTTCCCGCTGCAGCCTTTCCCTCCGCTTGCCGGCTGCTGCTGCTGCTGTTGTTGCTGTTGCTGCCGCTTGGTCTCATGCTGAACTCGGGATCGTCCACCTCTTCTCCGTCCACCTTTGCGGACCCTGGCGCTTTCTTCCCGGCCGTGGCGCTCGCCGACGGCACCGGCGCCGCCATTCCTAGCGCTTTCTCCTTTGCAACTCTGACGACATCGATGAAGGAAGTATGTACGTTGAGTCCAAGCTGCAGACGGTCGAAGTGGTTGTGCTGTTTATGGCCTGCCTCACCTACACCCTCGCGCGCTGCCCACGGATCGTCGTGTTTCCGATAGAGCAGATGCACCCAGCGATCCCCCTCCTCGTCCATTTTGTCTTTTTTCTCGAACAAGAACATGCCTGCCGTGAGGGCTGCTGAGTACGGCTGAACTGTGCCGTACGTGGGGCTTGGCTCCCACAACATGATGTTCACCCCGTACTCCGACGCCAGAAAAGAGAACCAGGTCACGTCAATCCATTTTGTTGTTGCACTTAGCTGGGCTTTCTCGCGAAACCAACCGACCGTCTTATCCTCCGGCGCCGTCATTTCTTCCACGGCAGCTCCTAAAACATCCGGTATACGCACACTCCGGGCCCGCCCAAGCTGGTCTGGTGAGAGTACAGCTGTCAAGTCCTCAACACCGGATGCGCCAAGAACATGTTCCGTGGCTCGACGGGCGACCACGCTCCTCATGTTCTCTGGGGTGGGGGCGGCCCTTGTTCTACCGAGGCAAACCTGCAGACCCGCGGACATCGCACTAAACCCGCAGTGGCCATCCGGCTTTACGGTATACACACCAGCGCGGTCGGGCAAGACCATAACCCTCCCACCTCTTGTCAATTCTGTGCTGCAAATGATGCGCGACGCAGATCCATCGATGTGCTGCTGTACCCGTTGGCCCAACGCAGCCGGCTGGGGAGCTAGCTCCTGTTCCTTGCGAACGTGATACACAGGAACCCCGTCCATAGCGCTCGTGCGAAAAATCGCAACAAGCAGGAGGAAAAACAGCATCATTATCGCGTTTCTGCGTGCTGGACTGAGGTCCACAGCAGCACAGCAGCAGCGCGGGATGCAGGGTGCTGCGGAGCATTGCAACTCCCAGGCTTTCAATTTTCTGTATAGGGGACGTGCTGTTTCTGTCCCCGGTCGTTACTTTGTTTCTTTTCGAGCGGTCTAGTCGTACCGTCGAGCCGTCGTCGACGCAGGTATCCACAGCTCAATTCGGTTCGAAAGTTGTCGCATATAAGAGTTATCGTGCCTGCTAACATGCCCGATTCGGGGGTGTAGTCACGTAAGGGTTCCGTTCCGATCTCTCCTACCCAGTACCTTCGTATGTCCGTCTGATCCAACACTCGACGCGGTCGATTCCCGTGGTCAAAGGTTAACTTACCCTAGAAAGGTACACTCAAAAAAACTGGGCCCGAGGGGTTTGCAAGTCAATAGAAATCAACGACATATATTCTGGAGTCCTCCACTCCCTCTGCGCGCTATGTGTGCCCGGGTGGTATTGGGCGTCGGCATTTTTTTTTTTTTATCGGCACGTTATCAACCCGGCACAAACCGCAAACCCCCGATAAACCCGCCGTAAGTCCCTGCGCTCAAACTCTCACGCAGCGGCAGCACCTGCCTGCCCTCACAACAGTGTGGGAGTGCAAGATTCTCCAGTAAGACGCCATCAACCACACAGCCATGATCCGCGTTGAAGGCCGGCGCTTGCTCTCGTCTCTGACCAACTCAGGTTCGAGTTGTTTGGTGTGCGGCGGCGGGGTCTGGAGTGTTGCCCATCTGACGCCTTCTGGGGCAGCGTGTTTTTGCTAAGAATGCGGCGTGGGGTTTACCGTTTGGGCTTTCGGAGCCGCGTGTGAGATTTTCTCAGCAGGTAACCAGCCTGCTGCGCTCCTGCTGCTGCCCGAGCATGCTAAAACTTTTTGTCCTCCGGCGTTCCGGGCCCAGTCTTAGCGCTTTTGCGCGGCTCTTCTTCCGTCTACCGCGGTCTCAAGTACAACGAGCTCCTCGCCAACACACACTCGCAGGCCGCCCGCTCCCCCTACTCTCCCGGATTTTGCTTCGCGCAGGGTTCGGACCGCGACGGCTTCAACAGACGAATCATGCTGCCGCTGCACTTGCTGGAAACGGTGCCCTGCTCGCCAACAGTCCCGCTCGCCAAGGCGGCGTGAGGCCGGCGGTTGCCCCAAGGAGAGTGACGCCTACAGCAGCGGTACGAGCAACTACACAGGTGAGAGTCGTTGAGTGCGCAACGAACGCAAAAATAACGTGTTTTGTGCATGCATGGATCCTGACAAACAAGATGTTCACCAACCATTGTTGTCTCAACTCCGTTGTCTGTCCGTAAGTACACATCTTTCGGCCCAAAGCACCGATACTCTCGCTGTCGACACTGCCGGGGCTGGTATATAAACATCTACGTACGTACGTACGTACGCGTACCATCACAATCATCAAACCGCCGTGGCATTTGTATGTGTAGCTGAACGTGTTCGCTTCTTTCCTAACATGCAGTCTCTTTTTTCTCTTTGTCGATCGGCGCTGGTGGGTTTGCGCATGAGCTGTATACATTACAATGGTCGTTGGTGCATGCATCGTTGGTGCATGCATTCACGCATGTGCCAACAGAAAACATCTAGAGTGAGTGCGGGTGAGCATGTCAGTGTCAGGAGTTTAAGTAGATTGCGCCACCTTTTTTTTTGCACTGGATATCGATCTCGCGAGCGCTGTAGGCCACCGTTTGGAGTAGTGGGACGAGTAGCTGTGGTGCTCAACTATCGTTTGGGACGTGTGGATGCTGGCTGCTTGCGACTTTTTGGGTCCAAAACTGTAGATTTTTTTAGAAGAATGATGTCAGACAGAATCAGGCGTACCTCTAGCCGGGGATACAATGTGAGAGAAACAACAACAACAACAACATCCTCACGCAGCCCGCCCCCACAACAACCTGTCAGAGCAGACCTTTCACAACACGTCGCTGCAACCCACACAGTCCAGTATCGCCACACCTTGTTTTTTTTGTGTTGAAAAAAGTACCTGTAGGCTCGCGCGTTTATTGAGGTGGTGCTCATCATCATGAGCTAGAGAGGGGGGGGTGTTATTCACCATCAGCTTGCAGCGAAAAAAAAGAAAAAAACGCTGTTCCTCTCTCTGCTTCGAGCTTTCATCCGGCAACCTTATAGCGTGTGATGGGTGACCAGACTACTGTAGCACGGAAGACACAGGTGGCACCCTAGGCCCTTAGAGGAGAGGGTTACAGCAGTACATGCATTATCAATGGTGGTGTCTAGCATCGTGTGTTGTTGTGCCTCTCTCTGTCCTCTCTCTCTCGCTCGCTGATGATGACAACAAACGCACACCACCAACATACCGTATATGACACAAGATAACACACCCCCTTGACCGATTTTCAAAGCTCGATTTCTCAACAGCAGGAAGAGTCACAGCGCCGAAAACGGCGGCGTTGGAACCGTCTCGTCGAGAGCTGTTCGAAAACGTATTATTTCATTTATGCATCCTCTTCGTCGTGGAGTAATCGAGCTTTGAAAATCGGTCCAGGGGGTGTGTTATCTTGTGTCATATACGGTACATACCCGAAGGCTTTCTTTCTGTCCTCTCGCTTCCTCCACCGAAAGCTAACAGCAGTATAGGGCATACCCTCTCGCCTCGCTCTCCCGGTGTGTGTCTCCCGCCCCCCTTGCCCATGTTTTTTTTTTAAATCTTGTCAGTATGACCCAACCAACGCAACGAAGGCATCTCTAGACTACCTATAGAAAATAAAAGAGTCATAGACTATAATAGCAATGAATCCATAGCGTCAGCGAAAGTTCTGTTTTTCCCTGTCTCATCTATGTGTATGTATCTTGCAGCAGTAGCAGCTGCTGAGCACAGACAGCAGCAGAAGCAGCAGCGGAAAACAAAAAAAATCACGCCTGCCCCGGTTAGTTTTGGGCGGCGACGCTCGCTGCCCGACTTGACATGACTTTGTATCGGCACAGATGCTGTGCTACAATATCTACACGCACCGACCACGGATTGAAAATGTAGCGGTTGGGACACAATTTTACTTTTTGTGGGCGAGTGTTAGATTGCAATTTGGTGCCTAGATGGTGAAATGGGCCCAAGTCTGCTGCGTATTTATCGAGCGTGGTCACAGACGGACGTCTTTCGTATATTTTGCCCACTCCCCTCGCAGCCGCCCCTTACAAGTCGCCCCCCCCGGTGTTTGCCATCGGGGTTGGGTTTTCGTCGATTGGCAGCGATGTTGTAAAACAAGCCAATTCACTTAGTGAACTCGGCAACAAGGTTGCCCCTTTCTTTTTTTGCCTTTTGCTTTTTTTTGGCGGTAACCATCATGGTGGTCGAGTATATCATGTTGTGCGTGGTCGAGAACCGTCACTCCGCGCAAAGGGGATAATCGCACGTTATGTTAAATTGGTCAAGCACCCTCGAGGCAGTTACACAGCGTTTACAACTGTCTCTGGATGTGAAAGCACCAGAAAATAAATTTAAGTCATGCGCAGCTGTCATCCGTACGCAACGAAGTAAGCACAAGGTGCCGAACACCCTTAGCAGGATGCAGCGCACCCTTCATGCGATTCGCCGAATACCTCACGGCGCTTCGCGCTTGGTGATGTGAGAGCCTGGCCCGGTGAGAACCCGGCGTGCTCCGTCCCGGCTTTGTAGGGATGCGAGGTCAATGGTCTAACGACTACGGCATGCACGATTATGAGTACACCCCCCCCCCCCCCCTCATGGTCAAATTTCCGTTTTTTTTTTCGCGCATACATCTCTATGGAATCCCTCTAAACAGCTTTTTTTTTTCAAAACAAAAAGCACCACTACCGGGCCCTCTCTGCATCCAAAAACATTTAAAAAGCGCGACGCCTCCCTGTTCGTGTGTCGCAGTGGTATTAGAGGTGGTTTCACGTCGCTGTTTGCTGGTGCGGGTGTGTTATAGCGCCCTAACGGCCGACCTCTACATAACGTTAACCGGTCTAACCCCTGTCTTCTTGATGACGTGGCCGTATTGGAGAGAGCCGTGTGGACTGAGAACTGCTGGTGATACAAGAGGGGGTTGTGGGCTTTCTTAGCACCCGCCACGTGTTGCGATGGAAAACTGCGCATTGAGAATTCAGTGATTTGCCCATCGTGGGTTTCATCTGACACAGAGAGTGTAGACCTGTTGCGTGCGGTGTCGCGTGGCGGCGGGATATTTGAACTTCTGTGTTCTAAGTAGAATCTCACGTGCTTCATTTTCCACATCATATTTGGCGACACCAATCTCTATTGGGGAGGGTCGGATCGCAACCCCCCAAGTAGATGACATGCTTTGGTATCACCAACAGCAGCTGTCAAGTCTCTTCCTTCGTTGGCTTTGCTCTGTGGCGAGGTACCCGGCCTCTTTCCGCGCAAGGGTGTCCTCTGTTGTAAACTTCAGTCATTTTATGGAAAACTGTCAGGCGTTGCAAATATAATATTGGGCTTCGTGTATGTGCGTGGCCAGCTATAAAATGCGGCGCAATCTAAACTCCAGTGTGGTCACATCCGGTCATGCCTCAGGCGCCGACGTCGTAGTCTTGGTGTTTGCTGTGTACCATGCCAGCAATCGATCGCCGCAGATGCTGGCACAGTCGGCGGGAGTCCCCGCACCCTGGAAGTTTGTTAACTTACGGTACGAAGGAAAAATCTTTTTCTGACCTCTTATTTATGTTGTTTTCCTTACTAAAAACCATATTTTGTCGGTTCGACGATTACACTTTTTTTCTTGTTATACAAGTGAGGTGAAGAAGAGGTGTTGTTGCCACGTATTATATGTCGCCACACCCCATCTTCGTAGATGAGGGTTCGGGTGGCCGACTACTGCTGTGTCTGCCCCGCCTTAACAGGTGCTCGGCCGCCGCAACTATCTGGACTACACAGTGTTGGATGTTTTGATGCTCCTTTGTCTACAAGTATGCTGCAGCAGCAGTGTTTCGGCAGCAATGGCGCCAAGAACGCTCTCATGAAATCGGAGCAGTTCAACTCCCTACTTGAAAAAACCGCCACGCAAGCCCACAACGACAAAAAAACAAACCTGGCCATAAACACTCTCATCGTGTGTACACAACAGCAAACCCCGTCCTACACTATCGGCGGCATATGCCGCACCTCATGACTAAACACATACAAATCCTTGCTCAACCGCCGATGTGTACGCTTCTCCCCGTCCAGTTCTCGACCGGTGCCGCCGCGGCTCAAGACCCCTACCGCCATGACCGAGATGGCGAGGGTCCGCGGGAGGCCGACCGCGGTGTTGATCCCCCCCCCCTGGCTGAACCGGGCGACCTGTTCGGGCCCCGCTCTGACGGCTGGTGGACCGGGCGACGGCCTTCCGAGGAAGGGGAGGTGCCAGGGAGGCGAGAAGACGGGAAAATTTCGTCCCTGCCGCAGCTCGTCCTCCGGGACTGCACCAAGCAGGTACGCTTGCACTCCCGGCCCGGCCGGCCCGCCTTTCTTTCTTTCTCGCGCTGCGCACGGTATTATGTGGAGTGAGCGAGTCGTTGAGTAAAGTTGTCACCGGTTACCGGTTAGTTTCATGGAGTGAAACACTGCAGCTAAATAGTCCTTTTTTTTTTTCCTGCGCCGGTGGCAAAGCGGGGGAGTGAAAAGGGGACACAGCGGGGCCTCTACAAGAAGCTGATGGGCGCATACGTGCGTACCCACCCCGCGTGAGCGATGATCGATCGTGCGTTCCTGCCGTGTAGTGGCGTGGTGGTGCCGCGTCTGTCTTCCGAGCGAAACATGCCACTTCTTCGATGCACGGACGGATCATTCCGACGGCCGTCATCCCGTGAACCCTGCATGGTCGCAACGAGGCACCGCTATTCTTGTGAAGGAAACCGGTCAGGTTTTCTCGTGGCAGCACCAAGAGCAGATATAGGATCGGCCCCCCCCACGAGAAGAGAATTTTTTTTTCCAGCAGTTTTTGATGTTGAGGCTACACTTTATTTTTCTTAAGATTGCAGAACAAGCACCCCGGGTTGTGAGTTCGATTCTCTCTCTGTCGAGTGAGAAAAGTATTGTTTACATGCTGCGGTGGAAAGCATCGATTTCGTGGGTGATAATATACACTTGACTCCACGCTCGATGAGGGGAAGGGACGGCGCTGAATCCTTGTCGCAATCACATCAATCGCAAGCACCGACCGCAGGTGGGAAAACGGTGGGGCATCAAAAACACATAGAGGAGGTAAAAGACACTCTCTGGATGGAGTCACACGGCGGTGAGAAATCTGGCTTTCGCGCCAAACGAGAGCCAGGGAAGTGGAGGCCGGTTGTGAACGGCGTTGCCTGTTCGCGGGTCTTGTTGGATTGCCGAAGGGCTCACTGCCGCCCTCGGTAGCCCCGTCCATGGCCCCCGACTACCGCCGCCCGTGCGCCAAGCGCGGACGTGTCAGTTCATCACGATCCGATAGGTTTCGAGCGTGCCACCGGAGAAGAAACAGAACGCCGCTCACACAGCAAACCCGTCCCACACACGCGCGTTTCGAGAAAGAGTACCGCCAGTGTTCCAGTTCTATGGAGACGTTGATGGTGTACAGCTCTGCATGCACACACACACCGCCTCCAAATATCGGCAAGAAAATAGGCGGACCGCCGTGAGTTCGTTACCAAAAAGACCAGGCAGGGGCCACGCAGACCCCAACCCCAACCTAGCCGATTTTACTTTGTCCAGCGTGTTTGTTTTCTCTCGAGAAACATGCGTAAACTACTGAAAATAGCGACTGTGCGTGTTTACCACGTCGACGGTCCTTGTTATCTTGGCGAGTCGGAGCGACATCCCATTTTGCTGTTGCTTCGGAGGCGGTAGCGGCGCTCACGCTCTTTCTCTTCTCCTCTGCTCCGCGGTTGTGGCCGCCGTCTTCGTCGTCCAGTCTTTGCAGGCCTACTTCGACAACTCGTGGATGCTAACCGAGAGCCTGTTCGCCGGTCTCCAGGGCGAGGAGGCGTTTCTGCTTCGCCCCTTGCACGGGCTCCGCCATCCCCTCATTTTCTACTACGGCCACGCGGCCGCCCTCTACGTGAACAAGCTAAGGGCTGCAGGGATCTTGCAGGCGAGGGAGAGAGAGAGAGAGAGAGAGAGAGAGAGAGAGAGAGAGAGAGAGAGAGAGAGAGAGAGAGAGAGAGAGAGAGAGAAGAAGAAGAGGAATACACAGAGAGAGAGCGGAAGAGAGCGCGATGAAGAAAAATACAGAGAGAGAGAGGAAGAGAGAGAGAGAAAGAGGCAGGGAGAGAGGAAAAATCAGAGAGAGAAATGGAAGGGTAAGCACAGAGAGGGGGGGGGGGTAGATACAGAGGGGGCACGAGAGAGGGGTTTTGGCGTACCCGTCGGGAGAATCGAATTCTCCCACCAGAACATGTGGTGAAAACGTGGCCATTGCGTTCAGTCCCTCGCAATCCCGGATCGCATCCTGCAACCAGCTCATTTGCTGAAAACATTGCCATTACGTTCAGTCCCTCGCAATCCCGCCCTCCCCATTCGTGCAGCATGTAGTGTAGTATACGCGTCTACGGCCGGCCCGTAGGCTACACGTGCCGGGAAACGATACACTGCTGGCATGCCGTAGCAGCCATTCACCCTATACTATTTCTCCGCATAGTCTATCGCGCGAGTGAACTTTGCGATACTAAGCTGGATGCGAACATGGCTTTTCTTCTTTGTCGACAGGCACCAGTCAACGCCTACTTCGAGGCGTTGCTAGAGACAGGAGTGGATGAGATGGCGTGGGACGACGTTGGCAATGACAACGTGAGCGAGGATAAGCGGACCGAGCGGTTCCCGGCGCACATGCACGCGTATTCCCAGTGGGCCATGCTATGTTCGCTCTGTTGGACTCCGATTGACCGCGCGCGCATGTGGGCATTTTCTCTACCATCTCAGGCGCCTCGCCCAAGCCCCGCCGAAAACGTTTTCTACCCCCCTGTTGTTGTTTTCTCTTGTCGTCGTTGTCGTCGTTGTTGTTGTTGTCTCCCCATCTCATTGCCGTCGCTCGCCCATACTTTCTACCCCTCCCTGTCGGGTTCCTCTCCTAGCCAAAGCAACTCCCATCCGGGGTTAAGCAGAAGACGCTCTACCTCAGCGGTGCTCGCGATTCTTATACTCAACTGGAAAAACCTCTGCAGCGTCTCAGATTTATTGCGTCCGGCTTCAGAGTTCTCCGTTGTCCGGTTGTGCTCCTTCGCGCGCCCTTTTTCCGCCTATCCTTTCCACCCGATTTCGCGCCCTGGCAGAAAGTCTCGTGCAGTCTCCCGAACCCCGAAAAAATCCGTCCTGCGCCTTCTCCCCCCCTTCGGTCCGGTAGGACCATAATGCCCCGTCCTCGCAATGACGCGTGATCAATCTTCTAGAATCGAAGGCACGCGAAACATGAGTACCCACCCCCCGTTGTTCGAACGCCTCCCCCACAGATGGAGTGGCCTACCCTTCAAGAGGTCCACGCCTACCGGCAGCAGGTCTACCGGGTGGTTTCCTCCGTCATACAGGCCGCCCCCGAGGATGAGGTCTCGAACATCGGCGCGGACAGCCCATACTGGGCCCTGCCGATGGCCATGGAGCACGAGCGCATCCACGTTGAGACGTCGAGCGTGTTGATCCGCGAGCTCCCCCTCGAGCACGTCTCGCGCCCGGCGACGTGGCCGGCCCCGCACGTCCCCGACTCTGACGGCAGCAGCGACCGCTCGCAAACACCGCCTCCAATGGAAAACCCTCTGGTGCGAGTGGAGGGAGGCGTGGTCCGCCTGGGGAAGCCGAAGGATTTTCCGAGGTGCGTTCGGGGTGTGTGTGTGTGTGGATCGCGCCCATACATAGCTGTCGGCGCGTCGTATATGTACGCGTTCTATGTACATACTTTATCGGAGGTTTGTGTGTGTGTGTGTTTATTTATTGTTAGCCCGCGCTAACCGGCTGACCAATGAAAAGACGTCAGCCTTAGTGCGGGAAAGTGTGTGTGTGTTGTCAGTTGTTTAGGACGCAAAATGAACAGCTCGCCTCGTACCCACAATGGTCTTTGAACCGGACGATAATGGGCAAGTTGCAGACGACGGCAGAATCAGACGAAGAAGCTGTGGGGACCGTGCCCCCGAGGGCGTTATCTCGGACGTTTTCCTCCGCTCGTATGTTACGAGAAACGTTGGGAACGGCTTTGACCAGCGCGTAGTCGACAAGCACGAGGTCGCCAAATAGAAAATGCTGCCCGTACTTGTGCCGACCACAACACGAGGAACGAAAGGCTCGCCTCCTAGGTGCCGTTCCCCTGAGTTACGAGCTATTTTCAACGCCTGGTCGAGCAAATTGTCTAGAAAGTAGATCGGGAGGGACGACCTCCCAAGGTCGTTCGACAGAGAAGAGGCGACTGACGTCCGGGCATCAGGACACAGAAACCTGTCGCGGTCATGAAATGTGCGTGTCAATACGAGCCATCTGTCATCGTTTTAGCTCGACTTCCCTCCACCCAAAAGAGGCCGCCACCCTTTCCAACATGGCTTGTAAACGCCACTGCGATTCCTGCTCTGCGTCTCCCCTGCCCTCTACCCCGGCGGGCATCCCACCCGACCACCCCCCCCCCTCCTTGGCACCACGTGGGATGGGCCGGCAACGGTGCAATTCGACGGCATCGAAACAAAGCAAAAATGCGTCACTCACACTTGAACACCCTTTATTTCGACTGTGGTTGTCTACATCTCGAACGGATAGGATTTCTGTGCTTTGCACGTATGTTTTGCTTAAACTACCCGCGCGCTTTGCGCATACATATATGTTTTTGCTGAAACTGACCCCGCGCTTTGCGTATATGTTTTCGCTAAAACTCAACGCCCGCTTTGCGCGTATATATTTTGCTAATTCTAAACGCGCAGCTTCGGCTGGGACAACGAGTACGGGTCGCGCGAGTTTTCCGTGCCCAGTTTCGAGGCCGCCAAGCACATGGTGACCAACGGCGAGTTCTTGGAGTTCGTTGCGGACGCGGGGTACGCGCGGCAGGAGCTGTGGTCGGACGTGGGGTGGAGGTGGAAGATGTTTCGGAACGTCAAGAAGCCGCAGTTCTGGGTGTCGGAGGTGAGCCGCGGTGGGTGTGTTTTTTTTGGGAACAGGCAGTAGGGGGCCGGCCTCAGGGAGAGGAAACCCTTCTGTGTGACCTCGGGCTGGAGTAAACGAACGCAAAAAATGTTGTGAACGTCGACTTGAAGTGAAGACAAGAAAGACGGGCAGAATGTTTGTCGGGAAGTTGTATGATGAAGTCATGGTCCGTCGCGGGTTTGTTTTCTACATTTTTTTTGTACGCGGTTTGCCGGCGTGGGTGCGTGGTTTTGGGCGGCAACGATCCCGATGTATAGTCACGGTAAATGTGTGTTGGTTGTGCTTGCTACCAGACGCCCGGAAATAGAAACGGAATGAAATTTATTTCGAAGTATATACGTGTACAATAACTCAAGTCGAGGGGTGTGTAGTGTTGAATGAAGTCTCCATAGTCAGTCGGGAAATACATCTGCTGGATATTTGGCTTTTTCTGGGTCCGCTTAAGCCTGCATGCACTGAAGGATCCGCAGGCACTAACAACAACAGGATGTCCGCTGCCACACGGCGAACCGTTCGGCCACGAGTGTGTTTCCGCCAATGCCAGACGTCCATTGTCGCACAAAATCTTGCGCAGCTCTTTGTTCACGGAGTCCCCCCCCCCCCCCCCCCCCCTGGCGTCCACCCTGCCTACTTATTTGCAGGGCCCCTCGGGCTTCCACCAGTACCGTCTCCGTACCTTGTTTGACGAGGTGCCGCTTCCGCGCGACTCGCCCGTTCTGGTTAATTTCCACGAGGCAAAAGCCTTCGCAACGTGGAAAACCTTGAAAGAGGAAGAGGTGAGAGGGGTCAGAATGAGAAAACAACATTTTTTTTTTTTTGGTTGTGTTGTTGTGGGGGTGTTCGTAAAATAGCATCGACCGTTCCAACCGGTTGACCAATGACGTCACGTCCGTCTCAGTTTCGGCAAGAAAACGGACAACGCTTGTAACGGCACCATGGTCTGCCCCCCCCGTGAGAGACGGGAGTCAAGGAGCGAGGCTAGACCTTTCCCCGGATTGAAAGACGGAAACCAACGTGAACAACATGAAGCCGTGTGTGTCTGCGTGGTTGTATTTTAATGATTGGCACCGACCGCGCTAGCCGGCTGACCAATGAAATGGCGTCAGCAGCAGTGCGGTTGAAAAAACACAAAACAATTCTTCGATAAAGGCCATGATCTGGGACCCCGTGAGGGGGACTCGTGCGGGAGGGTATGCGTGTGGGTGTGGGTGTGGGTGTGTCAAACCGGTGATGTGATGTGATGCGTTGCTCGAGTGAGTACCCCGCGGCGTTGAGCATTGCACGCAATCGATCGGAGGAATCGGACCCCGGGGAGTAGGCACACGCTCTCGTGGCATTGTCCCCCTCGCGTGACGGCGCGTCTGCGGCCGCCGCCGCCGCCGCCGCTGCCGCTGCCGCCATGCCTACTCCTTCGCTTTGAGGCTGATTTTTTCTCCTTGCCCCCCTTACGCTTGGGCCTCTGGTCGACCCCGCAGCGAGCGGTACTGGCGTTGTTTGCCTCCTTCCGATCCGAACTGCTGCTGTTGCATGCTGGTGCGTCCGCCGCGCTCGCAGAGTTTTGGCGAGGGCGGCAGGGCTTACCGGCTGACGACAGAGCTGGAGCAGAAGCTCATGAGGGGCTGCAACGCCGAGCGATCCAGCCCCGACATTCCCGAGGTGGGACACGTTTCATTTTTCTTTTCTTTTTTTTTATCGAGCGTGGTTTGTCCCCCAAGGTGTTCGTGCGAAAGGCAGCGGTTCCGTGTGTGTCTGTCTATGTGCTTCATTCACGGGCCGTCTGAACAAATGAGAAGAGGCCGATCTCACTTTCGGCAAGAAAACGGAGAACGCTTGTAACGACGCCATGGTCTGCCCCCCCCCCGTGAGAGAGGGGAGTCACGGGGCGAGGCTAGATCTTTCCCCGGATTGGAAGACGGAAACTACCGGGAACAGCATAGAGCCGCGTGTGTCTGCGCGCGTGTGCTTCATTGTTTGCACCGACCGCGCTAGCCGGCTGACGAATGAAACTGCGTCAGCCTCAACGCAGTGCGGTTGAAAACAGCTTCGTTTTTCGTCCCGCGAGAAGGTTTCCCCCCCCCCTCCCCCCCCTACCCCGCCAAGCTCTTCCGCGGCGCCCCTCTCCTCGACGGCATGATCGCCCCGGCTCACGACACTCTGTCCCCTCTCGTCCGCTCCGCAACAACAGCTCATCGACCCGGTGCTGTCGCTGTCGGACGCGCAAGACCTCCATCGCCGCGGTGGTGACGGTGCCGGGCACGGGGCGGCCAACACCAACCTCACCGTGGGGTCAGAGACCCCGGTGGACGCGTTCCCGCCCAACGAGATGGGCTTCTGCGACACCCGCGGCAACGCGTGGGAGTGGTGAGTCCGGGTGTGTAGCGTGTCGTAGTGAGGCGCGATGCCGAGGGTGGCGATGGGGGTTTTTGCTGTGCTGCGGGGGACGGCGTTGCCGCGCGCGTGAGCGTGGTCGACCGTGCGTGGAGTTCTGGCTGCAAGGGATGTGGGAGTGCGACTCTCGAGCGTGCGCAGTGAAGACGGCGCGGGTGTTGACCGATTTGGGACGGTTCGTGTTGGATCTGGCTTTCACTAACGGTACGACTTTTTTTTTTTTTTTCCCGATGGTCCGCGGCACGTGCATGCGAAGGGTTCTCATGGGCCCGACCGTTTCCGGTTGTTCTTCGCCGACCGCGCTTGGCTGCTTCCTGCTGCCGCTTTGCCTCTCGACCCTTGGCCGCGAAAACCTACCTCCCCTACCCGTGCCGCAGGTGTGAGGACCACCTCTCGGCTCTGGAAGGCTTTTCGATCAGCCCGCTCTACGAGGTGCGACGTGGCCTCTTGATTGCGGTGATGATAACACTCCTTTTCCCTCTCCAGTCTAGACGACCGCCGTGACGCTCATAGATAATCTGTTTGTCGTATCATGCGCCTTCTCCTGTGTTTCCCGATTCCCCAATAGGTGCACAAGGCGTCATTTTCCCTTCCTTCACGAAATGTAGACATCACAGCATTGTTTGCTACGTCCTTATTTCGTCTTTTTCCCTTCGGACGACAAGATATCACTCACCCACCCCGACACGGGGGGGAACCAAACAAATGCGCACGAATGCCGCCCGCATGACCTACGAGTCAGCGGCTCGAGCAAACGACGACGACGAGGAAACAATCCCCCCGCCTAGGCATCCCGGCCCATATACTCCGGCAATTTACAACAACCCAAGCCCTGTCGTGCGCTTCTGCCCGTTTTCAGGACTTCTCCACCCCGTGCTTCGACGGCGAGCACCACATCATCGCGGGCGGGAGCTTCGCCAGCACCGGCAACGAGGCGAGCGTCTTCGCGCGGTACCACTTCCGCCCCCACTTCCACCAGCACGCCGGTTTCCGGCTGGTCGCTCCGGAGCGAAAGGAGGAGGCGACGCGCTTCGTGACGTCTTGCACAGGTTTGAGGGTAACCGCCAGTTGTGCCGGCAGGCGGGCAGCATGTGCATACAGAAGAGAACCCGCCACCGCAGAGTGTGAAGAAAGGCGTCTTTGTTTTGTACCTTGAACCCGCCGGCGACTGGTAAGTATTGACGTTTAGTGTTGGTCTTGGCGAATGTAACATCTGTTCTGATTTCCAGTCTTGAGATTTCTTTGTTTGTTGGGCCTTGGGTGTCATTTCCGAGGATCTTTTTCGTCGCACTTGAACACTCCTGGGATACGGTGGACGAGCATATGGATAGATGAATCACATTCTTCGGCCTCCTGCGGTAGGCAACGCTTACTCTTTGGTCGGCAGCGGTGGAGCATGTCTTCTTCACCTTGGCGATCGTTCGGCTAGATGCTGAAATAGGCGGGGTGCCGAGAGATTGCGGGGCCCATGTAAAAAAACAGCAGCATTACCTATGTTGTCGCTTCGTGCGAGAGCGCTAGAGAACAACGACATGCGCGTGTACCCTCCACACAGAACAGCAACACCATTCTTTGTGAGCGACACGGCGCACACGAAAGAAGTTGACCCAGGAAACTCAAACCAGCATCTTCATTCCGGATAATCGCCTATGGTATCCTCCTCCGTGAATCCCCGTTCTCAGGAAGGAACCACCTTCGGAAACGTATTTTAGTTTGACCGCATCGACGTGTTTTTCATTCGGTCAGTCGGTTGGCGCGCGGACACGCACACGCACACGCATTGATTCGAAAGTGTTGGCGTTATTTATCCCGCTGCAAGACTGGCGTCTTTTCATTGGTCGCCTATTTTAGCACGGTCGATGCCAATGCAGAAAACCACAGACACGCACACCACTCCGCTTCCTTCAAGAACTCTTACCGTACCGTTCGTCGTGTCATAATCGGAGGTCTTTGCGCTCATTCTGCCCAACCGCGACGCCTCCGCGCGCGACAGACGCTCCCAGCCCCTTCGTCGGAAGCTACCCCTTCCGCACCGCGGACAAGGGGGCGTCTGCCTCGTCCTCCGGGTGGGCAAAGCGCGAGGCTCAAGCCGAGAGAAGCTTCGCCTCGAACGTGGCGATGCACTTCGCGGTGCCCGAGGTAGCCCGACAAGACCCCACCGTCGCGGAAGGGTTGCAGTACCCGCAAAGGTGCGCGTTTTTTTTAGGAGAGAGGTGACGGGAGAGGGGTAACCGTAGGGGGTGTACTCATACAGCCGTGCGTGCCGTATTCGTTTGACCGTTGACCTCGCGTGATAGGGAAGGGGGTGTTTTATTCCTCATGTTTTGGCCTTCCTTGCATGCTTTCCTCGGCTTTGAAACCTTAACCCTATATCACACGTTCCAAAAATCGCGACAATATCACTGCCCTAGATTATTCCAGGCACCTTCTCGTCGGCTTGTTCGCGAAAACCGCCGGGTAACAAACTGCTGTTTGTTTGTTTGTGCGTGGCAGGTGCGCGAAAATCGTCCTGCGCGCCCTCGACGGCGTGCTCCCAGCCGGAGAGGCCCATGTGGTTGAAGTCGGATGCGGCGCGGGCGGAGCGTCATTTGAGCTCTCCAAGGGTGTAGGTAAGTCACTCCCCCACGGCCGGAGCCACGGTTCTGGCCGGGCCATCAGACCCGTGGAACTACTCACGATGTGGTACATTCCACGACGGTTCCGTGGAACGACTCACGATGTGGTAATTTCCACCACCGTTTCGTGCTTGGATTTCCTTTGGAGGGTGTGTACACGCACGAAGGTGGCGGACTTGCTGCTATTGCTTTTTGCGTACGCTTGTCGGTTTCGGTAGTGGATTGGCTCGTCTTTCGCGAGGGATGCGCCCCATCGCCTCTGCCGCTGTGACACGAACGCCTGTGCATGCAGGTTGAAACTACCTTCTTGTGTACAGCAGGACGGAACCGAGCACCGCCATACCGATGCAAACCACCTTGGTGAATGAAGTGTTTCGAAGTCCACCATTCCACCATACCGCGGCCCTTCCGGCTGACCTTCTGCGGAAAGAAACCAGAACCAAACTGTGGGCCCCACCCCCACAAAAAGCGTTAGCATGATCCTCCCTTCCCCGCACGCCGCGCCTGAACGTGCCCCTTCTGGCTAACCCAAACCCTATTCCTATCCCTGATCTAACCCAAACCCTATTGCTATCCCTGATCTAACCCTAACCCTTAACCCGACGGGACACCACCCACCACCACACAGGGAGAGTCGTAGCGCTGGAGGCCAACAAGAGTCTCATCGACACCGCGTCGAAGATGGCGACGGAATCCAGGCTGACCGTCGCCTATCCGTCGGGGGGTGCGAGGAGCGTGGCCCGGGAAGTCTCTCTCGACGGGGAGGCCAACCCGGACAGGATAACGTTCAAGCAGTGCGATCCGATGTGCCTCCCGGCAGGCTTGGCCGGTGAGGAGGTTGTCGCTTCGGAGGGCTGGGTTTGGTTGAGCCTCTGGGTACGGTTTGGCTGGGTTAGGGAGGCGACGGCGTGTCAAATGCGGAATGCCTACTACGTACGGCTTTGTTTTTGGTGTAGACTACCCCCGTCCTCTTTTGGGATTTATGTTATCACCATGGTGGTTGTGTCGCGGGCTTGAGGCGGAGGTGTTGCGCATGCACTGACTGCGAGGGATACATGTACGCTTTGCGGCAACGCGATTGACAGTTTACAGCTTTCACTATTCACTCGAATGCGCAGGAACTCAGGTCAGCAACTATAGCTCGCACACGTTCCAGCACCGTGATATCTCGGCAGTACACACAGCAGTAGTATCCCGCGGAGAAGCACCATGGTGAGTGCACACGTCCTTTATACTGACCACGACCCTACGACGATCTTAACAAAAAACAGTACGGTAGTTTGCTTCAGAAGCACTCTTTCGACCGAACTCAAGCCTGGCGGCTCCCGCTTTCACGGTCCGTCCGTCCGTCCGCTCCCCGCCGCATCGACGACGAACGACGACGTAGGGCTAGACGCGGCCCTAATCCACAGCACGATCGACGCCATCCCTTCCCCGAACGGGCTCCTGGGCCGGATGGGAGGGGCCAGGGGCATCGTGAGGGAGAACGGGGGCGTGGTGGTGGTGGTGTCGGCGTACGAGTGGAATGAGGACGTGACCCCAGAGAGGGCGTGGCTGGGCGGTTACCTCGACGAGGACGGCAACGAGGTTCGTTCGTATCGCGAGGGGGGCGTACTGCGTGTCCGGCATACATACGTGCTCGTCGTAGCAAAGCAGCCAAGTGAACATAGTACTGAGTATGAGCCGTGGGTTCGCAACGAGGAAGCAAGCATGCATCATGGCGTTGTATAGAAGGTGTAGATTGTTCAGATTATTCCCGAGAAATTAGAAGGGTGTGGTTCAGAAGCCCGGCTGGCTCAGCGGTGGATCCTGCGCTACACGGTACCTTTATGTGGCAATGTGCGCTCGACCGAAACAAGAAGCAGACCCCCCGTCGTCGGAAGTCGAAGATCCTTTTTCGGCGGACCTAGAGCTATACGGCCGTGGTACCGATGATTTCCGGGCTCGGGCTGTGCTTCACACAGTAGGATAGGATACTACTTACCGTATAAGAGCTTCTACTGTGCGTTAGCTAGTGCGGCCGTTGGAGGAGTCTCCGGAAAAAGAACACGGCGAGCCTCGGCCTTTTTCGTATTGCAGTTTTTTCATTTGTTGGTCACATCCCATCTAGGGATGCCGACCTTTTCGCCCATCGTGGTACAATTCCTGGATTAACCGCCAGCCGGGGTCTCACCACAGGAGGTGCCTATGATAATTCTTGCGAAAACCGACGAAACTTGCCGACGGAATCACGCCCCGCACACACGCCCCGCACACATGTACACAGGTCCCCTCGATCCAGGGGCTGTCGAGAGGGCTGGGCGACGACTTCAAGCTTGTCCACGTGGAAAGGGTGCCGTGCATGCGGCCGCTGACAGACCGCACTTTCGAGTATGCGTCCGCGGAGGCGACGGTGTGGCGCAGAGACTGACTGACGCCCGGAGGTTGGTTGTGTTTTATTGTTTGACGTGGCATCCGTGGGTCTTGAAAACGCGCGCTCGATGGATAGATAACATGGTGTCGATGCCCGCTTGTAGTTGCGTGTTGAATTTTGTCGCGTCATCGAGTTCTAGATGTCCTATACTCTGTAAAAAGTCGCCGGGTGTGTGTGTGCGAGGGCTAAATTGATGTAATGGACATGGGCGGCGGAAAGAGATTGCTGTGATATTGCGAGTTATTTGCTGTAGTACAGGGCCGGGAGAGACGACGCGTTTTCGTTGCCCTAATCGAAGCGAAAAATGGCAAACAACCGGCAGAATCTTCGGAGCCAACATGTAGACTAGAGGTTGGGTGTACTCATAGTCGTGCATGCGGTAGTCGTTCGACCATTGACCTCGCATCCCTACAAAGCCGGGACGGAGCACGCCGGGTTCTCACCGGACCAGGCTCTAGACTAGAGGTTGGGGTGGGCTAAATGAAGTACCCAAGTGACGCTATTCAATAGTCTAGAGTATACAACGGGCGATCAGGGGGGGGGGGGATGCTGCTGCAGTGTTTCTTATGTGTATGCCTGTGGTGCAGTTTTTTTGTCTCGGTGAATTGGGTAGATAATACTGCTGGCCCTTGGAAGCTCTGGCGACCCTGTTACAGAGATCAATTCCGCACGCATTTGGATGGATGGATGGATGGGGAAATCGTATTAGGCTCTATTGGAGCGCGGCATTGTTGTGAAAATCGTTTTGCTTCCGGGTCACCCGGCGGTATACACAGGGTGGCCGTATGCATATTTTGCAGGAGAAAAATGAAGTAACCCTCACGGAGGAATTTTGTATTTGTCGGGGCCGCGCGCGGACCCAAACCTTCTTTGTCTCTTTGATGTATTATGTATAGCCTATGCACAGGTGGTACTCAGGTTTTTTCTAGGATATCTTCCGTGCTCTTTCCCACACTTAGTGCGCGCGATTCACTTTGCATGTCTGTTTCGCCGGTGAAAAATGAATGCTTGGCAAGAACCGCTACGTAGGTTGAGACTTTTCGACTAATACAGTAGGTGTCCCGATATAGTGCCGGTTGAATAGTGCCAAAGTCCGGTATAGTGCCGGTAAATTTTCTTGACACAGACACAGGCCTGAATCGTGACAAACCGGCACTATTGAGGGCTGCCCGCTATAGTGCCGGTTCAGGCACTATCGAACCCCTCCATAGTGCCGGTTCACACCCCGCACACAGCCTTTTGTCGCCTCAAAACTTCCACGCCAACAGGATTCGGAGACGGTTTCCCTTCGAGCTACAAGTATAGCTCGGTTTCTCTCGGTACGCGTGACGTCTTCAAATGTCACGATATACCGATCGACCAGGTTCCACCAATCGGCTGGGATTTCAGTAGTGAGGCGAGCGAAAAGGAAGATGGTGGTAGTGACGAAGGATATGGAAAAAATAGCCAAGGGCAGCAGTGATAATGCAGGAGGAAAATATGGCGTTGAGGTGAACAACAAGAGTTTCGAGCGAGATGACCTCCCTCACAACAAACGCCGCAGGGGCGCAGAATCTAGAGATGAAAGCCAATAGTGGTAAAACATTAGTAGTGAAGAGTGGTTGTAAATAAAATACTTTTGAGGAAGGATGAAAACACTGCGATACATACGCGTGTTCAAAGTAGTAAGCCTTGGCAGTCACGTAGTTCTCCTCTCTCTGTTGCTATCATTTCTGTCTTTTATCCAGAGAATAGCGCAGCCTCCTCCATAACGCCCTCTCACGGCCTTGAGAAACAATTTTTTTCTGTTTTTGACCGCACTGAGACTGGCGTCTTTTGGTTGGCCAGTCGTTTTTCTTGCTTCTGAAGGCTTGGTCTTCTCTCTACCTTTTTGTCGAATGAACAGGGGAGTTCGTTATCTTCTTCGCCCCTTTTTTAGGTTGCATCTGTTTTTGTGTGTTTATATCAGGAGCACTATCGGGCAGCACGGTCTACGGTTGAAAGGCAGCAGCAACGTTTCACTAGCGAGTGCTTGCGCTGAGGTGGAAAGAGAACAACTGCTGTGGAACAGATCTATCTGGCCAATCAAGTTGATTTTAAGGTGACCAATGCCGTGTTTTCGATAGTCCAAGAGCCTCACGAAACTGAATGAGTCCCGCCCACGTCGCCCACCTCACGATTGATTCAAATACCGTTCGTGTGGTACTCGGTCAGCCCCGCAAAGCGCAAGCGCTGCACTCTGAAGTCGAACACTCCTGAATAGCGCCAAGCCGGCACTATAGAGGGATTTGGCACTATTCAGGCACAATTCTGAATAGTGCCGATGCCCGGTATAGTGCCGGTCAATTCGCCTGGACACATACCGGCACTATATCGGGACACCTACTGTGGTCTAATGTTTGGAAACTGTAGTTTGCACACGGCAGCAGCGTATGCATACAAGTGGCGGAAAGGCGGCGATACGTGTCTCGCTGTGAAAAGCGGGAATGAACCGCCGTCGTCTGCGAAAAAGGGGAATGAACTGTCCTCTACCATTGACGAGAAATCGGCCCCAAACCGGCAGTCGGGAGTCGTCGATTCACTTCTTGGCGCTCTTTTTTGTGCGTTTGTCCATGTTACGTAGGCCTGCATCGCTGCCACCACGTCGTCGTTCGTCTGACAATTTTTTGAGATGGGGGAAATTCTCAGGGCGACCTGCCGTCAGTCTTCGCCGTAATTGGTTCGAACGCCACACATAATAGCGGGGCGGGGCGGCGGCATTGAAATCCCCCACGGACCATGCCGAATAGCGGAATGCCAAACGAGAGCAACATACACTTCTGCTCGGTCGTTGTCGTTGTATGTTATTGTACGCTATGGATAGCGCGGGTTGGATCGCTCGCTCGTACTGTTGGAAACAAAATGAAATGAACATGAACTGAGAGAGAGGCGATCAGAGCACCACAAGTTCGATCCACTGCAGCGCTTCGTCAAACGTGGCCTAACTTTTGCCTCACAAAGACGTGGTGGCACGTTGGGTTGAATGGGTTCGGGTGGTCTGCACTTGCCACCGGAGCTGACAGCATCGGCCGATCGATGTTGTAGCATGGGGGGGGCAATGCTATCGCGTATTATGGTTTTGTATCCTAGCACTACGGACGACTGTCCGTAGCATACATTGCTCATGTGGAGATGATGCTGATATATGCGGGGGCGTCTCGGTCACGTAAGGGCCGTTTCATACAACATGTTGATTTTGCTTTCAAAGTTCCAAGTTTCTAAACCCGTAGACCGTTGAACCTCGATTTGCGGCGGAGGAAGGAAAAATGGACATTGAGAAAATTGGGAACGACTGGCACCGAAAAAAATGTACACGAGACTTTGTCCAAACCTTTTGAAAATCTGGGGAAGTCGGAATATCGGACTCAAAAATCGCTGTGAATAAAACTTCCCGTATACAATCTCTACCGAGCGCGCCCTTTTTTGCTTGTGTGAAAAACATGACGAACATCCGTTCAAAACGAGCAGGATTTGACGCATGATGGAGTGCACCACGTGAGAACAAGACACATTCACTCACTCAGCGGACGCCGGGCTACAGATTCCCTCTTGCGTTCCTTTTTGTTGTCCCGCTTAGACTAATCAACGTGTCACGCTCAGGCGGATAGCCCGGCCGACACACTCCATTACATTTATAATTGACCTCTCCGGGTCTTGTTATGTACAACTTCTGTTGGCGTATGCGTAGGCATGACCCCACCCCAAGGTTTATAGCTAGACTCCAAGACAATTAAATAAGTTACGCGAATACAACCAAAGCGCACGCCCTGCGGAAACGAGCCGAGCCGTAAAATATCGAGGACAACTGCATCGCCATAACTTTCTCTTCTTCGATCATGACGCCGCTGCCGCTCATGCGAGGGAGTGGTCGCTGCCGCCGCCTCTGCATTTATTTCATCCCGTGACATCGCCGTTCGGTATCTGACCGCCGGCGCCGGCGCCGCTCCCTTCGTTGTCGCCGCTGCTGTCGCTTTCACACGAGACGACTTCGAGGCTGAGACCGGCCGCTGTTGCCGTCGCCGTCAACCCTCCCTCCCTAGGCCCCTGCAGCGGGGTGCCCTGCCGACAACAGAAATGGTTAACAATGCGCAATATTTCGAGCAAAATAGTGAGTGGCAGATACACAGATCATTTACCAGCAACGGCACAACATCAAAGCGCGTTGAAAACCTACATCGCCACCCCATGGAGTGCACGACGGGCGCATAGAAAGGGGATACCGTATCGGAAGTAGTCAATGCATATAATACAGACAGCGCCCGCACGCAATAGCCTCTAGCTTTGGCCAAGGGGTTCTCAGTCCATCTTGTGGGCTACAAATCGCCGCTATATTGCGTAAGGGGTTCTTTAGGGCCCACAAACGGTGCTCAAGCTCCTGTGTTTGACAAATTGTAGCAGCAACGTCGCGCTCTGGTAAGACGATGGTTCGATCTACTGCGACTACAAATGGCCGCTACATAGATTTTAGTGTAGTCTTGCCCGGGCTCACAAATGGTGCTCGAAGTTCATGTTTACTACAATATGGAGGATGACGTTCTACACTGCAAGGTTCTCGAGTGAGGGCGCTATTCTGTATTCTCCTCCTGGCGCCCGCTGTTAGGAAGGGCAAGGTAGAGCGCGAGGTTGTAGAGGTAGGTTTCGTGTCTGAAACATTGTTCCTTGTTCGCTTGACCAATAACAAGCCTGTCCGATTCGCAACCCAGCTCTGGACAGGGTATGTACGATAAATATGATGCGAAGAAGGTGAGCGAGCCTCCGACTCTGGAAGAAAATTCTGACAAGCCCGTCTCCGACAAACTTCATATAGGGACACATGCCGACGAAGCTCTCGCCAAGTGCCGGATCTCAAGAAATGGGTAGGTTACCAAGCGAACAGCTTTCCTGGTGCCGTGTTCCTCACCCGAATGGGCCGCCCAGGCTCCTCTTGCTCTTCCTCTTCCTCCTCCTCCTCCTCCTCCTCTTCTTCTTCCTCTTCCTCTTCCTCCTCCTCCCCATAGTCGACGTCTTCGCTGTCCTGGCTGCTCCCGGCCCCTTCATACTCGCTCTCTTCCTCGTCCTCCTCGTCCTCTTCCTCGCCACCCATGCCCGAGATCATCCCCATGGCTCGGTGGAGCAACGCCAGGCGCGCCCGTGCGCTTAGCCTTCTCGTCGGACTACCTCCTCTCGCTCCCGCAGCCGCTCCCTGCTGCCGCGGCACATGAATGCGCAGTCGGGGTCCCCGAACAAGTCGGTGGTAGGGATCAGACAATGTCCGCCTTACAAAAGGGGCAGCCGCCATGTTCAACGTGTAATGGATTCTTCCGTCTATGCCAGACAATTTTCATCCTCCTTGTTCAGGTCGACCGCCGTACTCAAGACCGACATACTTGCGGACCCCGACAACGGAGCAAAAAATATCAAAACTCAGGTCGGGGGCGTGCGTGTTCACCCATCACACCGAACCCCACCAGGTAAAATATCCGATTCATCTCATCCAACAACAACCTTTTAACGGGGTATCAGGCTTGCGGAGGTCAGGCGCGCATGCTGCTGCATCCGCAGGTCTGGCTCGGGACAGAGAGTTCTTGCCACCCGCTTGACCACATAAGAGCCCCTACCGTTCGTTGGTACCAAGCTTCACACGCTTCCACAGCAAAAATCTCAGCGAAGCGAAAGACTAAGTAAAAACCAGCGGTGGAGACTTGTTGCAAAAGTTTACGTGGAACACAAGAGGGGGAAAGAGACGCAACTTCCGTGTGGACCGGGTGCTGCTGCACAAGGGGCATGCGAATAGGTGTACAGAGGGGGGGGGGCGGGGGCAACATCTTTCTCGGCGACAATTCCTTCGGCGAGCTTGACAAGTGTGCCGGTGCGCACGCCAAACGCTCTGTGGGTCTCCCTTCTTCACCGCCGGCTGCCACACCTGTGTTCCATGCCACCGGGGTTCTAAGACCGACCCCAGGACGCCCCCCACCCTCCCAGCAATCACCGACAAAAGAAAACAATGGACCAAATACATGCATAGCAGCTCCCGAAAAACAACATGGTTTGCAGCTCACATGCCCGCCTCTGTTGGCTCCGCCCGCGCCTGCCGCCGCCGTTGCCCCTTCCCCCCTTCCTCCTCCTCCTCCTCCTCCTCCTCCTCCTCCTCCGCCCGCTGCTCCCCCCCGCGCCCCGCCGTCTCCCTCATCGTCGAACGGGGCCAGGCCAAGGATGCTCAGCAACATCTCCTGCGTGATGGCAACCTGCGGTCAAAACGAAACGACACAACGGAGCGCGTGTGAAGATCCATCGCCGCTCCGATGGCGCGCTACAGCACACGCGCATGCTCTCGTGGGCCCGCTCGTTCGGCGCACTACGTTTGTCGTCGTGGACCGCCGTGCTTGCCACATGGACCAACGACCGCCGTTCGGGCAGCACTTGGAGGGCGGTCGATGATTTGGTCTGCAGCTCCTGATAAAGCTTGAGACCGGGATTGTGCGACGAGTGACGATCGCACCCTGCCATTCGCTTCACGCTTGTCAGGGCTCGACTGCTCCACACAACCGCATGCACTCGGCTGAGCTGATTTTGAGGAGCAGGAGCAGGGAAGCTTGAAATGGCGAGGGCAAACTCAGCGCATCCGAGCGCAAGCTGGCGCGTTTCCTATCTACCCTCGAGGGAGGCTAGCGTTCGCCGTCGTGCGTGTTCCAAGCTAGTGCGGAGTGCAATGATCGATGATATTGTTGCTTGCAACTTAGTCAAGGGTAGCTCCAGGTCCTGCCTACCCTGTGAGGGACGAGCAATAGGGAACCAGGCCGCCCAAACCTTGTGTGGACATGAGCTGTCCCAGAGCGCGAACGGTGCAAAGATTTCCGATATGGCATATTACGCACAAACCGGACTCCGATTGATTTCCCCCGTTCCGCGTTGCAGTTAGTTGCCGTTTACCACGCAGAGAAAAAAAAAAGGAAGTACTGCGGGCTGTGCGGCTGGC